CCGGCGGGCTTGAGTATGCCGCGGCCGGCGGACTTGACTGAGAAACGGCCGGCGGGCTTGACTTTGGAGTGGTTGGAGGGCTTGAGAATGCCGCGGCCGGCAGGCTTGACTTCGGAACGGCCGGCGGGCTGGAGAGTGCCGTGGCCGGCGGGCTGGTTATGGCTCGGGGCCGGACGCTCTCCAGACACCGGAGGATCCCTTCCCTACTGCTTAGTACCGTGGTGTCTGGGAGGTCCACGGGGTGATGGTAATTGGCCCCGTGCCAGAACAAAGAGTTGATGGTGGCGTCATCTAAAGCCGTCACTGCGGCGATCCCGCAGAACTCCCTGGCATACTCGACGAAAGCAAGGGAAAACAAAAGACTTTTAAAACGAAAACAAAACGGGGAGAAGGAGCGCCGCTTACTTTTCTGTCTTGGTCCGGTATTCCGTCACGTTCGCTACTGTGAGGGAGCGCTGAGCGAGGAACGAGGAGACGAGGAGTAGGCCTACATCACCAAGGAGACTTTAATAACATTCAGGGAACCAGGAAAACACACGTAGCAGAGGAGGTAGACATATACAAAACACGGAACAGAGTCTGACAGTATATTTATTATATATATTTATTATATATATTATATTTATGTATATTTATTATATATATAAAACATAACACATTCATATTTAGTTACAGATGCTTATAGCATTTAGGGCATTTTTGGGAGTATGTGACAAGAAATGTTGCTTGATACAGTGGATAATTTTTCAGCTGCATATTAAATAGTCTAATCACCCATTATATGAACGTACACCGTAATGAAATAACATTTAAACAAGTTGATAATTGATGAGGCAAATTTATCTTTGTCATGTGATACCCCAAGGTTCAGTGTTGTTAATTAACATTGCAGAACTCAACATGCAAATTTAATGTAATTTTAAATAAACTAATTGTTCAAGTTTTAGGAGAAGGATCAGAGAACTTGAAGGTGAGACTGGTTGTTGTTGTTGCTTGTTTGTTTGTTTGTTTGTTTGTGTGTGTGTGTGTGTGTGTGTGTGTTTTATAGATAATTCTACATACAAGACGGTGAAAATGCAAGCAAGCAGTTTGGTCTTAATTAGATGTACTTCTACAGATCTGACACACTGCAAAATACTGTGCAACAAAACATAATTGAGAATGAATGTGGTTAAAGACTGTGGGGAATGTTGGTATACCTTAAAACCCAGAAAAACAACAAAGATGAGAGAAACCCAGACAAAAAGCTGACAGGACAAAAAAATAAAGTGATGAAAGCAACTTGTTTAGTCTTTATCATTCCCTCCATTATTTAGGATTTCTAAGCATCTTGCAACAAGAATTAAACATATTTCACTCTAATGTTTAACATGTATTTGACCTGTTTATTTTTCTCCAAAGATTCTTTATTTTGAAAATTGTTTATAATAATTAATATTTTCTTCTCTGTATTCAACCCTCCATACACACACACACACCTCATATATTCTCCTGTTTACTTATTAACCCTTGTATGGTGTTCAGTCTGTGGGACCCGTTTTCATTTTTTATCAAAAGAAAAATTATATGATTAATTATTTTTTCAAACTCAGGCTCATTGGCCTTGGCTCATTTTCTGTGAAGAACATACAGTATATCAGAACAAATTTTCAATGATCACACACTGTACACACCCCTACATATTTATATTATATACAGGACGTTTGGGTCTATGGGATCAGAATCCTGCCAAATGTATTGCAGTCACAGATATAATGAAAGGACAACATGATTTTGTGTGCAAGTCGGATACTTTTGCAATATCATTTTAAAATATTGTGCAATAAAATTGTACTTGCGTTTTTAAATTTTGGTTTCACGCTTGTTATTTTTTTATCCGTGACTGCAATACATTTGGCGGGATTCTGATCCCATACGGGTCCACTGGACCCGGGCCTAATAAAAGTGTGGAATTTGTAGGTCCTGTGTAACTTCACTCTGTCCTCCTCCTGTCTGAGCCTGCTATTAGTGTGTGAGTGTGTGTGTGTGTGTGTATGTGATGTGTGTACCTGTTTTTCTATTCTGGTGGGGACTTAAACCTGAATACACACAGACTCATGGGGACTTGTGTCACGGTGGGGACCTAAATTGAGGTCCCCACGGGTAAACAAGCTAATAAATCACACAGAATTAAGTTTTTTGAAAATCTAAAAATGCAGAAAGTTTCCTGTAAGGGGTAGGTTTAGGATAAATGTGATCTAACAAAGGTAAAGGGCAGATATTAACCATATATGCAGTTTATATTGCTTGTAATTGGGATGAAGTAAACATCTGTTGAGTATTTTAACATAAAATTTTTGATTGTGTTGAATTAAAAACAGCAGGTCCACCAGACCCACAAACACTGGCTGAATAACAAAAATATGAACACCACACAAGGGTTAAATGATTAGTCAGGTGGTCCGGGATTTGTGTATGAAGGGAGCAGAGAGGAAATTTAGTGTCAAGCACTGTGTCATGAGTTTTATCGCACATCCACCTCATTAAACTCACTCAACTGACCTGCAACTTCAGCTGTCTGGGCTGAAAACACACCTCTTCTTTCCTCAAACAGGCTTTCCAAAGCCTAACCAGACCTCCACCTCTCTTCAGCATCAAGTCTACAACTGCTGACAAACAAGAAACCCTATGAACATTTCAATAAGCGACCAGGCTTAATGAGCAAGCAATGTTCACCCAAGTGCTCCAACCTTCAAAGTGGCTGCTGCTGATTATGGGAGATTTACATCATGGCAAATATTCAGACAACACAAGAGTGCTGAATGAAACATAGAGTATACAGAATACAGTATTCATAATGTATCACTGAAATATCTTGACTGTTGTCTATTTTGGATAAATTTTTTTAGTAAGTATCCACATTAACAAACAAACAAAACAAATAAATAAATACATATTTAATAAAATAAAATCTATAATAATATTATATTATTATTAATTACATTTTATTATTAAAAGGTGGTGCTGTTTGAAACCTACACCCTCAGGGCATGATGGTTGCAATGCAAATTCCAAATGTTGCAAACTGATAAAGCATTATGAACATACAGGCTCATGTCCTCACATTCAGATTTGTGTTATAGTCATATGGTTTTGCGCTTCAAAAATCCACATTAGTGAGGCTTCATTTCAATAAAGTGCTGCAGTGATGACGTCATTTTTGTAGGCCAACTAGGAACTTAGCACTCTAGCTCCCTCAACAAAAACCCAATAGGATTTTGGCTTTTGGAATATTGCAGAAAATAAGCTCCGTGAACAACAAAAGTCTATGATTCTTACATATTTTTCATTATGATAATCATCACAGATGTAACTTCGATGTCTTTTGAATCTTAAATACAATGCCAGAAGTAAAAAGCTAAACATAGGCTATAAACGAACTACACCAAGGTTGTATTCTGGCAACTTTTTCAGTCTTTTAAACATATCCTTGACAACCTCTTTAGTCCCTTTCATCCAATTGTTAGCAACCACCTTTACCAAGAGGGATGTATCTTATGCTGCTGAGTAAAACATGAAAATATCTTGAGCTTGTGTTAACAGACCTTATTCCAAGCATTTAACCAAAAACTCATTCAAAAATCTAATTACTTTGGGCCAATGGAACCAGGAGTGCTAAAATGAGACTAATTTCCGGGTTTGGGCCTACAAAAACACGTCATCCCTGCAGCACTCTGTATGATCTGAGCCAGTTTTGTTGAAAACTGGACTGTACTCAAATCTGTTTGGCAGAAAGACAAAACCATTCAGGTGCCTTCAGGGTATGGTTACATGACAAATACCAAGATTTCCTTCGATATGTAAAAGCATTTTGAATACAAAAATGCCCCCCTTTCTATATGACATCCTTGCCAGCAAATTCATTGATGCACTAAATGCAAATGTTATATTTTGCTAGAAGATTTGAGAGACCAAAACTGGCACCATATTGATATCAGTGTCTTAGAAGATTAAAGAACTAAAAAACCTATGAGCATCAGAGTTAATGGCCCCCTAAATTCATGAAAGAATGAGGGCATGAGTAACTACAGTTTCTGAACAGAGCATGAACTGTCATCTGTTTACAAAGTCAGTCAACTTTGGAGATATCTTTAGGCAGAACCGAGAGAGAAAAAATAGAGAGGTAGACAGTGATCATCCATCACTCACTCTTTCAGTGTTGATTAGGATTCTTCTTGAAACAGTGGGATTAACAGTGATGGCTCAAATAGGCTCAACTGCCTCTGGAGTTTTGCAGATGTTCGACAGGATTCAAGAGAGCAAACAGGAGAGACAATTTGTCTCTGTCTCATGGGAAGTTTTACTGATTAGAAGTGAATTTGCCAGTGCTTAGAGAGAATAGAACAGTTTTTGTTCCATTCAGAACAACGAGACACCATGAGTCAGAAACAAACAGATACTGTTTTTCAGATTTCTTTCATTAATAAGCTATGTTGCATTATTCTTTTTCATGCAATACATATGCAATTTATTTTAATAATATATTATATAATTATTTACATGATAATATTTCAATATACTGTATATATTTAATATATCATACTATTATTTTAAGATAGTTTTTATTTTAAAATAGTCATTATTGTTCATTACATTTTTGCTAATCGCATGAAATATATATGCAATTATTAAAAAAGTTTTTTTTGTAAATGTTTACTTTTATATTTCAATTAGGGCTGAACGATTAATTGCATTTGCGATAATATCGCGATATGAAAAATTTCGATTTTTCAATCGCAGAGGCTGCGATTACACGGTCACGTAGAATAATAATAATGTTAATCTCTCTATACTTTTTTTCAATGTTTCAAGTGATGCAGGTGTTTTTCTCCCCTGTAGGTTTTTTAAATTAAAAAAACATTAATTTTTCATGATGTTTAGTGAAATTATTTGGTAGTCTGAGGGGGGCGCAACCAAAAAAAACGCCCTCTACTACTAGCCACCTCCCCGGCTACATATGCACTACTTGCTTTATGCAAGCACTATAAATCACTATACAGGATTTACCCTATTATACTTTATCGACACGAATTGATAGGTGAAACAACGTAGGTTTTTTTAATGAAAAAACACAGATTTTTCATAATGTTTAGTGAAATTATTTGGTAGTCTGAGGGGGGCGCAACCAAAAAAGTTTGAGAACCACTGGTTTAAAGTTAACAGACAGTGTTTAAAAAGTGCAGTGCACATGTTTACATATGTTTATTACAGTGACTTTGAATTACCTAAAGTAGTGTGGTAAAGCAACAGATTTGTTTTGATATTTCTGCTTTTATATTTATCTACTTTAGTTTGTGTGATTTGTTACTGACTTTCATATTAATGTTTACACCAGGCTTATTTGTCAGTGCTTTATGTTGTCATAATTATTACATGCTTACAAGGTTGGAAGTTCAACAAATCAGTCAATATACTGTGATTGTAGTTGTTAAATAAAAATGTCATTCATATCAATTCATGCATCACCTAATTTCATCGTAACGTATAGGCCTGGCCTACAGAAAAGAACATTTATGTTTAATCTATCTAATAGTGTGTTGGTCATACTATACAATGATTTATAGCTTGTCTTTGTTGAATAATACAGAACATAAAGAGCTTTAAAAAAAATAATTGCATATTAAATCGCAATCGCAATATTGGTAAAAAAAAATCGCAATTAGATTATTTTCCAAAATCGTTCAGCCCTAATTTCAATAACTATGTAATATATTTTATTATTTTGTTTCACAGGTTTATAATATTATTTTATTTACTATTATCACTAAGGATAGAAACACATCACCAATTTTTTTTTTTTCATTTATTTATCATATTTATTGCAGTGAAACAGTGAAAATGAAGTGTGGAGGGAACTGCTGAGATGCTGAAAAATGGTTGAACTAAAATAACTGCTCTTTACAAAAGCTCACAGAGAATTTGTTCACTGCTCGCTATTTCACTGCTTTTTCTGGGGGGGAAATAAATAAATAAATAAAAAACACGCATTTGTTGGCCTGTACATTGATAAAATGCTTGGCATTTAAAAACAACAGCGCTGTACAGCGCAGATTGAGCCCACATCAGACAACCTATGAAAGCACACAAACCAAATCACCAAAACAAGCACTTAGCACATCTGTCAAAAAACATAATCCAGCCACAATGGCCTTCCGCTTATCAGCACAAAGCCATCAGTATTCGCCGCCAGCGAGCATGCTGCTCTTTCTCATGATAATAGACTGGGGGTGGAGAGGTGATGAGAGGGAAAACCGCCGGCGTGCCGTATTCCAGGTCAGTGTGGCACACGTCCCTGTGATGTGGAAAACTATCTGCTGAGGGCCCATCTGCATAGTCCACAGCCCCATTTACATGGCACTTCATCAGCAGAGTTGTGTTTGCCAGCCCAGCCCTTCCCACATGGTTTCCCCACTGCACTCAGCCATTCAAACACAAATGAGTCTGCCAAATTCAACTCCCTCGAGAGTTTGACGACAGTCGCTGGGTTTTGTTACCATTTCATTTCCATATATTGAATAGAGGAGAAAATTGCTCAGTTTTGGATACGAGATGAAATGAGAGGGGGAGACAGAAAGAGAGAGCCAGGAAGAACCTGTGAAATAGAGGCTACTCTACATTTCCATGCTTTATGGCTGGTTCTACCTTTAACGGTTTAATGTGCAGCTTCGAAGTAAAGTGTTTGCACGAATACATGTATTATGCACAGCATAGGGAAACCCTGGGCGTCAGATAGTGAAATCCTAAAAACCGTCGGTCCAATTACAACTTGTGTTCTATTCTCACCAACAAAACCCTCTTAAAGTAGAATAATTTTTATGAATTAAAATAAATACAATTCTAAATAAGAATAAAATAATAATAAATAATAAAAACTCCAATATCATAATAATTTTGCTGTAGCTGTTGGTTCATGGGTGTGAGGTGAACACAATGAAACTGGCACACATTGAGACAAGAGTGATCCATATAAAGATGGTAGATTTTAGCTGAAAGGTTGAACTTCAAATCTGATAAAAGGTATTTAATTTTAAAATTATTTGTTGTATGATTTACAAATACAATATACTTTTGTATACATTTGTAACTCTTTTTAAAACTTTTGTGTTTGAATTTAGCTGAATAGTCAAAAATAGGTGGTGTAATGGCAAGTTTCATTGTGAAAATACCTCATATAGAGGGGACACAAAAGGTCAACATGTGTTCAATGAATATATATATATATATATATATATACATATATATACAGGTGCATCTCAATAAATTAGAATGTTGTGGAAAAGTTCATTTATTTCAGTAATTCAACTCAAATTGTGAAACTCGTGTATTAAATAAATTCAATGCACACAGACTGAAATGCAATTATGTAGCAAGCAAGAGATGGTTTCTAAAAATGTACATAAAAGCTGAATGGAAAATTTTGCCCCATATTTGTGATGACAGACTGGTTATGCCTGCCTAGCACAATATTTATCCTACTTTCATCACCCTATTTTGGGTATCTTCAGTTAAGCACTTAGAACAATGGAAATCTGAAAAACTAGTATTGTGCTATTCTCTCACAGATTGAGTGCCTCATTTGTCACAAGTGCTTCACTATAAATGGAATAAAAACACTGCTAAAATTTGAAAATGGACTCATTACAGATTACAATAAAGTACTTTTGTAAAAAAAAAAACAAAAAAAAAAAAACATGAATATGAATTATTCATACTTTCATGAATAATGAATAACCACTTAATATTAATGAGTTATACTGTAAGTGAGTATAATAACCAAAATAACTTTTGAAAATAATTTAAGAAGCTTTGGGCTTGGATGGCGAATCATATTTATGCCTTTTTAGCTATTTAAAAATAAAATGTAGCTTTGGAAGTAATTGTGTGAATTTTTTATATTTGTATTTTTTTTTTAATGTATTTTGAGGCAGGATGCAGGTGGATTATTTGAAGTGGATTATTAAAACTTATTAAAGTAACAGCATCAGTATTTACGTTGATATTTTCTTTCATAGTCAGTTATCCATAATGCTTCAAGGTCAGAGCACTTCAGGCTTGAATGAACAGAGAGGCAGAGAGAACATGACACTTAAAAACTATTACCTTAATCAGATTCATAGTCTCATATGACTGCTGAAGTCATTTACAAGAAGATACATGTGACTCACACTATTATGAATGTATTCCTACCCAGGAGAGCTAATAACACACACAGAACAATAAGCATCTGTGCTACTGTCAATTCATAAGGTATAAATGATTTCCGGCCATCAAACACACACGTGTCTCATACAATTCATATCAAGCACATTTGAATATCAATTTCAGCCTTTCTGTCTCAGCAGCATCCACACCTACAATTTCAATAGTATTCCTCTTCATTTGCATTGTGAATTTTACCCTGTCAGCACTGCTATTCCTTGAAAAAGCACTGTTTGTGCACGGTTAGTATAATGAATGTCTGAATAGACTGTGGAGTCAGGGCCATGTTGAAGAAAACAACAACCCCCCCCCCCCCCCCCCCCCCCCAACACCAGATTTTTTTTTTTTTTTTTTTTTTTTAAAGGGGGCGTATTTTTACAATCTTTTTTTTACAACAACCTCCAAAAAACAATCTTTGAGGAGAAGAGAAAAGCAATGAATATTTTACAGGGTGAGCGCAGCGGAGGGCTCGGCGGGGTGGACATTTATGGAGCTTATCAAACCCAGATCTCCCACAGAGGTCTGCACACGGACCACAGACTGTGGCAGCTGTTTATCAGGTGAACTATTGGTGAGTTCCCGATCCAGTAGTGGCTTGATTTACCTCAGTAAGAAAGAGATATTATTCCTGCAACGAAGAAGAAAAAATACGATTGTCCTGAAAATAAGAATGTTCAGCGGCAGAGTTTCCGCTCATTCGGCGCATGCGTCTGTGCATGTGGTTTCATTGAGCTGACTCAGTCTTTGTGTGTGCTCAGCCTGGTGTGGGCTTATGTATTAAAATATTCATATTTTCAGAGGAATCTTTCAATGCTGAAAAGGACACACGCAAAACGATGCTGGGAAATCAAGAGGACTTGAACCTGCTGTTTGACATTCTGACTTTTTCCCCATTCTTTATGCAGCACAAATTTACAATCAGGGCAGTAAATGTCAAATCATAATTAAGATCGCCTTTGTGTTTTCTCTGCCTTATTAAAGGAATAGTTCACCGCAAAATGTAAATTCTGTCAGCATTTACTCAACACAACATGTCATTTCATATCTGTATGCCTTTCTTTCCTTCATGGAACACAAAAGGAAAAGTTTTGAAGAATGTTCATGCTGCTTTTTTACCTACTTTAGCGACTACATGCTTTTGTCATATGGAGCAGCATAAACATTTTTCTAAACAATTCTTTTTGTGTTCTACAGAAGAAAGGGGGTTTTGAATGAGACAAAGCCATTAAATGAAGACAGAATTTTTATGTTTGGGGTGATTCTGTACAAAAGATGGTCACACACCAGAGCAAATGGAGTAGCATTAAAGAGCTGTCTTAAAAATGAAGTGTAAGAAAAGTGCTATTCAAACATGACGGCACCCCAAGAAGAAATCAATCAGTATCTACTGCAGCCAGGTGATGTTTGTATCCTGACAGCCCATGAGGAATGATTGAAGCACATCACATGCTCCGGTTTTGAGCTATCTAGCAGCCTGCAGTGCAATAAGACTGTTCCTTGTCCTGTCGTCACAAACATTCTTTGCTGTTTCTGATGGTCATTTGGTAGTGTAATATTTCAATTTGATTATAATAATAAGGCAAATAGTACTACTATTGCTACTTCTTATGGTTAGGGATTGAGGAAAACTCTACCATAAATGGTGTATCCTGAAACAGAGCATGTGAATTGGAAAAATAAAAAAATCTGTGCATTTCAAGGACATTTCAAGCATGACATCTTGATGACTGAGGCAACAGAAAAACATTTCAGCCAGGTTTGGCCTAAAAGAAACTTTTATATCATGACACCTGTTTCTTTTTGTTAAACCTGGCAAGAGAACTGAAGGGAGGAATTGCCAGGAACATTTATGACTAATATTAGTTATAGTAGCATGAATATAATTTGCATCCAATGTTAATGATGTGCCCTATTCATGTTCTGTTTTGGAATAGGGTTAGCCTTGATGAAAATGCATTATGTCGGTATACTGCATAGGGTTCTGAATGGTCTTACATAAGACTGTGATTTAAAAGGCCAGTCATATTCAGCACTTAGAGACTATTAAATTATCAATGACCAGCAAAGCCTTTTCCTCTCCCAAACTCCTAGAAATAGTGAACCCAGCTAAATATGGTAGAAGCAACATGACAGATTAAAGAAACACCAATATGTCTTCATTGCACATGCTAACATATCTACTTTGGTAGAGTATGGTGTTAACAATAGCACTGTTATGTGTTTGATTTCCAGGGAACACACATAATGTATAAATAAAACTGGCCTTGTCTGTTACTCTACTCTTTTTAAAGAATATAAAAAAATGGCATATCTAAAGCACTGACCTCCTCTTTGATGATGGTTGACCGAATGCCAGCTTTCAGTATCACTGAGACTCTGCTCTCTAAACACGTGAAAACAACTCCTTCATTGAGAATGAAATGTTCCCTGAGAAGGGTCCAAATATTTCACATGTAACATTATATACTGCTCAGCTGGCTAGTTATAATGTGGCAAAGCAGGTCTAGGTGAAGAAGTGTCATTTCTTTGTTGTTCTCCTCAAACCTGCACTACAAAATGTTAACCTCTCTATCGCCATCAGTGATGGAAACATAAAATTGCAAGCTTACAGAGTTTTTCCTCGGTTGAGAGTCGACACTGCTCTTCTTCACAGATCATTCTGATAGTTTGAGGTCACATGGTTGGATGTTATCACCATATCTTACTAGCTACACAAAGATTTAATACTAAGAAGAAAATCCTACAAGATGAATATCTGAAAAATGTGTCATCGGAGCAAGTAGCATAAATGCCACCACAGTAGCCTGACATATTTTCTATTTACTGACATGACTATAAAATAATTCATTTTGAATAAATTAGCCCCAATTCCCCAATTTATTTAGCATAAATTACCCCGAGTTCACTATGACATACTATAGTGAACTGAGGTAAGCCAAGAACATAGTTCTGATTCTCGCTCAATAATGGTATTTGGTTTACTTCTATCCAAAAAGTCTTCCATAGTGCAGGTTTAAAATCAAGGACTGCGATCAACATCAAATTCAGGACAATGTTAGGTGTAACAATAAGTGTAGAGATTAAAGACAAATGCAAAGTATAGCACTGTCTTTATGGATGTAGCATTTTCCTCTACATACAATATTTATTTTAACAATGAGTTTATCTGGTCAGACAAAGAGAGAGAGAGATCACACAAATATCACACAGTAGTTTCAATATTTTCAATAATCTCCACAATGGATTTGGAAGGGGACAGTAGGGTGCATTCATCCTGGTCCCATAGACTTCCTGGACTGGAGTGTCCATCTGTGCTAAGTTCATCCTCTTCCTCAGACTCTTCTTCACAGGACTCCAGATAGTGTCCTCCCAACGCATTGATCCCTGAGTCTTCGGAGCTGGAGGGCGAAGAGCAGTGGCCCATTTTTGGTCCTTTAACAGTCTCCTCAACAGTCTGCTTGTCTTCAGTGTGTGGTTTCTGTGGTGTCAGAGAGGCGGGTTTTATCTGAGGCGGGGTGGGAGGGGCCTCCGTGTGAATTGGGGGCCGCTGAACGTAGCACATCTTGCCGTTGATGCGTTTGACAATGTAGTCATCGATGAACAGTTCGGCAATGTTGCAGTATTTGGGAGATTCGGGACAAGGTGGAGGCAGGAAACAGGGGGAGATGCGGAGGAATCGTTCAGTCAGTGAGATGGACAGATCGACTGTGTCCGTGCAGTCAGATGGAGCAGCCGGCACAGGTGTGCTGGGTAGCTGAGCGACATTGGTCATGGGCTGGTAGACATATTTACCTGTACAGACAGAGTAAAAGGAGATTATTACCTTGATGTCTCAGAAAGCACATACTAATTTGTGAATTAAAATTGTATTACCTCAACAAGACTGGAGCAAGCAGAAAATTTTAACTGAGGCTTTGGGAATATTTAGGTAGAATATAAGAATAGTTTACCCAAAAATGAAAATTTGCTGAAAATGTACTCAACCTCAGGCCATCATGTAGATGAGTTTGTTTCTCCATCGGAACAGATTTGGAGAAATTTAGCATTACATCACTTGCTCACCAGTGGATCCTCTGCAGTGAATGGGTGCCGTCAGAATGAGACTCCAAACAGCTGATGAAAACATCACAATAATCCACTACTAATTCACATGACTCCAGTCCAGAAACAAATAAACCATTAAGGCGTGCTTGATCCGTGCATATTTCTCTCCTGATTCATATGAGGTGACTTTTTCACTGGAGAAAGCAATATTATGGATAGATGACTCATTTGAAGTGATGGATTTGTTTCTTACTAACATGCAGCTTTTCACTTAACAAGATGTTAATTAATGGACTGGAGACATGTTGATTACTTGTGGATTATTCTGATGTTTTTATCAGCTGTTTGGACTCTCATTCTGACGGCACCCATTCAATGCAGAGGATCCACTGGTGAGCAAGTGAT